GATAATCGTCGAGTACTGCTCATAAAACACGTAGAACACGCTGAAATTATTGCAGTTAGATGGCAACAACTTTCAATTGAAAGAGCAGACACACCTGTAGGGAAAGACGTGCACTTTTCCGTCAAAGGATTGCTCAATCTTGCGGGCAACTTTCCTCGCACCTTCCATAGCCACTGAAGAATAGCTTTTTCCAAATATACATATTGAGGAACTCGGGAAGAAGCGGATGATGCATAGTTAGAAGAGGATTCCACGATAAGTCGAAGGTCGAATTAGAGGAAACCGACTCGCGAGCCCTACAAGGCAGGCGGACCCCCTGAGTTGTGGACCGACACGCAATTTGCAGAAAAGGATATGCCCCAGCAATTAAGCATGGCCATCCTCGCGGCGCTGTCAGCACACGCCCACTAACTGGCTGACCACTCCCCGCAGGTCTCTCAGCCGGTTCAGCAGAGAGCGTTAGCGTTGAAGGGGGCAGCACCGACGAGGGTCGCATCAGTGCCGAAACCAACAGGCAATTTGAATGACCCATTTTTCAGCTTCTAGACCGTTTCTCATTGTTTTTTCTTATCCCTCCCTCATCTCGTTAATTCTAATCGGCTGCCCTCTAATCGTAAACCCCGCCTTTGAACGATGAGGCAAGGTGGCAAGAGGGGCAGCTCATTTGGCATCTTCTCGTCGCGACATGAGAATGCGTGCAGCTAGGTTTGATTGAGATTCCCCATAGGAAGTGCGAGATTGCACTCCCTCACTTTTACCACATGATTAATATCTTACCCTACCCTGGAGCCACCTCCCCGGCAACGACTTGTTCCCCCTTCTATCCTCGTACTCATGTTCGACATCTGATTTACCTCGATAGACTTGACTCATCGGCTTTAACCGAACCTACCCGCTATTCGCAGCGAGAACACGCAGTCGAGTGAAAACAGGCGCCCTACTGCCTATCTACCCCCAACACTAAGTGTTCCTTTTCAGTGATTATTATGGTGCAATCCATCCATAACGATTACGTGAAAAGTTTCAAAAGTTGAAAATCTCCAAAAATCGCTAATTCTAGACCGCCTTTAAGGACTATATGCAGACGCTTGTTCCCTTCAAAATAGACAGTCATACAGCTAACTACACATTATAGCTCACACAATCAACCACTAAAACACTGAGTTCATGACTAAAGACAGATCGCCGATATAACCAGCTCAGCTGCACACGCTAGTACTGCGGGCACTTTCACCCACGTAACAACGAATCAGCTTACTTCAAAACGTCTAATTCAAATTACAATATTTCAACTCCTCACAGGTGAACTCGCGAGAAGTACGAAGCGGCGTATGATACGTCATGAAGTGAGATGCCTGTACGTGGCCTCGTGGATTTAGAAGAATCGCGTCCTTGAAAGCGGCTCGGCCTCTGGAAAAAAATGTCATGAAAACATTTGCGTTCCAAGCGGAAAACGTATACTCACGCGACAACGCAGTTTGCATTGGGTACGTCTTCCATGAAGTCCTTCAAATGCTTGTAGAATGGTTCCTCAGTTGGACGGCCATTTCGCTGATTTGGGTCACACGTTGTGCAATTATAGGCTAAAACACATAATTACACCTGATCTAACCACAGCATCAAAATGACGACAGCTTTCATTGATAAACTCACAGTCTTTTCTACTACTCGGGCAGAACACATTTTTGTCATAGTTATACACTTTACAGCAATCACTTTCCTTGTTCAACCATTGAATCATGTTATCCACCCAATTCAGCACATTGCCCTTGATGAAAGTCCTGAAAAGGCAAATAGCACAACAACATTAACGGGTTGAAAAAGAGTACATACCTGTTCGAATGTGCTGCAGCTTCATTAAGAATAGCACCAACAGAATTTTCTGAGCAACCGCCAATCGTACAAAATTTATCCTGCAACATTTACCAAACATACAATGTAACAGTGAAGTACTAGGTTGGAAAGAAAGTCCTGCAACACTTTTTTTTCCATTTTTGATTTTAATTTTATCTTTTTTGTTTACAACTCCTGACCGGTCTTATATCTACCATGAGTGTCCACCACTTGTCTTCAACGCTCAGAAAATTTCTTGATGCTCCTTTGCCAAAACCCAGCGGAGTGCGGGTCGAGAAAGGAGGCGACCTCACTTTCGAGTTGGAGTTGATCGTCTAATTATTTCGTCATCAAGATGATGATTTAAGGTCCAGGATAGGTGGCAGTCATTTATAGCTCGACCAGGGGAATACGCTAAGAGAGGTAAGAAATCTTGCCGCAGCTCCAGAATTTCTTACCGGGCTCATTTCGGATCATGGTGATTCGCAATGTCATGAAAGAAATAAATATTGTCGCGGTACGAGGGCTCCTGACGAGCTGCCTCGGCCAGCTTCTGGAGTTCCGCAGCCTAGACCTCTACCTACACAATGGTGCCCATAACGAAGAATTTGTAGTGGAGCTTCCGTAAGAGCCCTACCTGTAATGGAGTGTGTGGGACGCTGCTGGCTTCTTATAAAATATCAAAAGATCGAAAGCGCTGGTAAAGGTGAAACACGCTGTAGCGGTGAACGGCATGCCTATTGAAGCTATTGCAGATAGTGTCGGTCGTTGACACGAATCCATAGTTTTGGAGACATTTGTACTAGACAGTGACTCGGAGTACGGATTTACTAGTGGTCGAGATTTTTTGAATTTTCTTGGATAACTACTGACTGCAGCACTTATATCCACCTCGTGGATTGAAGCCCCGAGAATGCTCTACCATAGAAAAAAATGTCAGAAAGAGGGTTGCAGAACTTTCTTTCCAACCTAATGATAGGTCGTGGATCGATGCAAAACATTACAGCGGTTTGATGTTAACAGTAGGTAACAGAGGATTTCAGAAATTTGCACCCAAGCCATAGAAAATCCCATCAGAAGACTGCCGCTTGAAAGAACCATTCACGGGAATAGACTTCTGTGTCTCCCCTCAAGCATTAGCTTGAGAGTCATGCTCCACGACAAGAACGAAAAATGGTGTTTTTTGTGAACATTTCCAAAAAACTACAAGAGCTGCAGCGCACTTCAACTCCCAACGCATATCTGTCACAGATGTTGGCGGAGTGCTGCCTCTAGGAATTTTTTGACCTTTAACCTACTACAAAAACATTTCACTCCTCTACTGCACCCTATTCTATCAACCATTTTGCATCTACTCTTGAAATTTCGATGTTTTGTACGAATCCTCCAACGTGTCGCCTAATACCTGGCTACCCCTAGCGTATCCATTTCCACGCACCCATTTGGTCGTCCACCAGTGTAAACTTGTCACAAAATGTAGTTGTCGATGGCTTGTTTTTTTTTTCGTAAACTTGATTTCCATACACGAGAATGATTGCTCTGATCCGCATGCAAACCAAAATGACTTGTACCTGTACTTGTTTTGTATGCATATCAAGTTCGCCTTCGACGACAAAGTACACCGGAGGTCCAACATTCATGAGACGATCAAGATTTTTGAAATGAAGATACACGTAAGAGTCCTAAATGCAATAGCTTTTTAGATGAATTTTTGATTAGACGATTCATAAGGGTAGACAAATTACCTCTGGTACAGCCACTTTCTGGTCAAAACCTGGGTTCAGAAACGGGAAGATGCACAAGGAGCAGCAAAACCACAAAATAAACACGACAAGCTGAAACGGGAAAAACTTATACAGAATTAGAAAACGACAGTATCAGTGGTGGACAAAATCATGAGACGCTTATGTCGTTGGGGGGGGGGGGGAGGACATACAAGTGAGTGAGCAACTTCAGTATTTAGGACTAGACCTGTAGGAAAAGCGATTCCGGAGGACGTGAGCAATTTTTTTCTCTCTGGCATTTCTCCACTCTTTTGGGCCTAGTCGTAGTTACCCACAGTCGCGGTTTGTGAACTCCCTGGTTTAAATGCCCCCACCAAAAGCCATGTGCGCCCATCACGACCCTTGGGAATGCACACATTTCTACCCTCCCTTCTTGAACAGTGGCAAAAAAGCACGACTTCAAAGCCACGATAAGATTAAACTCTGCTTTCTAAGACGGATAATGCTCCTGAATCCACGTTAATAATTGAAACTTATCGTGCGATCATTTCGGTAGTTGCTCACTGAATACAAAAAGGTTACTCCCGGTGAGGCTCGAACTCACGACCTTCAGATTATGAGACTGACGCGCTGCCGACTGCGCTACGGAAGCTCCACAGCACACATGCATCTACCGCTATCAACGAAGAGAGCCACATTCTTAGATCGAACGCTGACACTTGAATTTTGTGCAAAAGCTTTTATAATGTATTAGACCAGACAGCCTAATTGGTCTGAATGTGACTTTATCCTACTTACTACAATGCGCTTGTCTATTCTCTAGCTCCTGGAAATCCGCCTGGAGGGTCCAGGTCAAATGTGGAATGGGTGGGCAAGGTCTCACGTAAGCAAAACACACATCAGCTAAGCGGAGCCCCGCCCACAGAGGGCGTGGCGTGCGTCGAAATGAATTGTACTGAAGACCAAGATTTCAATTTCAGTGACAAAACAGCCTCGAAACTGGGAAAAAGTGGGTTGTGTGCATTGGTAAGTCACATCGAATTAGGGAGACCCACCCCCGGTGGGCGGGGCGTTCTCTAAAAAAGCAGTGCTTTATGAAAAATTTCATAACTCGGTTGGGAGAAAGCCTACAGAGCAGAAAACAAGGTGTAAGGGAGCAATGTCTAAGGTGATTTCAGCATACATGAAACGGGCGTGCCTTGAAGCGCAGAGCGCAGAGCATTTCTTGCAAATTCTCATAATTCTGTTACGAGAAGTGTCTTGGAGAGCGGGAAAAAGCTGGATACATGTCCTAGAAGTAAGGGAGAGTAAATATTAATGGCGCATAGTCTAGCTTAGGGTCAAATATTCATAATGTATCGGGCCAGATTTGAAAATTTACGTCGCACCATTCTATATTGCCGCAAAATCTGTGTGTGATATGCGGGCAACGAGTGCGTCGCCATCCGGTAAGTGACAAGGCTCTAAAAAGTAACCAAACATACCACCGTCATACGCATCCATTTGCGCATTAGTTGAGGAGCCGCATACTTTTGCATCACTTCATAGATATAGCCCTCACTTTCAACTCGTTCTGTATCAAGCTTACGGTGATACATTAACTCCGGTTTTCCCTCCTGAAAATGACTGCATAACAATGAGTGCAGATTAGACCTCAGAGAGGCGGTTTTAATTTTCACGTGTCCAATTTTCGAGTTGGATTCTCTCTCTAGATGGGCCATTCGTTTATAATCATCACACAACCAAGGGGAGCGAGAAGGGGAGAAAGCTTCACTCCTTAATTTATAATCTGAAGCTTGCTTATTGAATAAGACCCCACTCTCCAAAGAGTTTTTCTGTGTGCACAACACAGCATAATTGATAGGGAGAAAACGAAAACTCGTGAATTAGATTTCAGACGTCTCAGCATATCGAATTCTAAACCGCGAACACTTCCAGTAGACCTCTGACTCGAATGAGCCCATAAATATGAAACTTCGCCATTATTTATAAGAAAAGGATGCCTACCTCTTCACGTTTGCAATCCCATACAAAGATGGCTAAGAATATTGTATTTTGGAAGATAAAGTCGAATATTACGGCAAGTCCAGCAAACAATGAAAATCCACGAACAGCCGGCATATCAGAAATGGCACCTGAACGGAGTGTTTTTACAAGAAGAAGATTGAAAAATAGGGAATTGGACCACAAATCTCACCAACAAAAAAGCATAAGCTCTCCGTTAGCGTGCTCAAAAGCATCGAAGGCATCACCTGACCACATACTCGGGCTATTCGATCTTCTACTGACTGGTCAGTGGTGTCTTCTAGTCTCTGAATGTAAGCATAAGAATAGTAATCAGATCGACAAAAATCCAAAATTGGAAAGAAAGTATTGATTCATAAGAAACCTGATATGCTTGCACAATAATGAAGGTTCTGTTCACTCCTACGGCCAAAACTACAAACACAAGCACTACGAGAGCCGCCTTCGATGTCCCGATGCCATACAAAGAAAATACTCCGATAGAGCTGTAAGTATGTGAATATAGGAGCCAAATTCATAGATGCGAAAATATAAAGTGCTACGTATATTAACAGAAAAGAAGTTCCTAATTCAAAGTCAAACCACTAAAAAAATTCGATAGAACCAGTCCTGAGGCATGAAGACGAGTAACAGAAAACGTCTAGCCTGCTCATACTACCAAGCATAAATTAAGATAAAGTGAGACTTCCAAGTTATCACGATTAGAACTAAAGGAAACGAAAAAGACGAGGAAATACTGTGGCAACATTTTCGTACTAGTACAGTCGATATCCGAAAGTTGGGGTGGGTGTGTCACCGGAAGTGACGTGCACTTGATAGAAGTGCGTGGATAAGCTGTTGCCAGCATGCTTTGCTGATAGCCAGCGATGTATGTTGGAAGCAGCTTATCCACATAGTTTCTATCAAGTGCACGTCACTTCCGGTGACACGCCCACCCCAACTCACCGATATCGAGTATACTTGCAACGGTTGAAGACATTAACACGTTGACGACAGCTCCTTGTGCGTGTACCCCGGCACCTTTTTGTTTATTTTTTTCACAATCGTCATAACTTCTTCAATAATTCCACTACTGGTAATTGATGCACAGTTTTTCGGATAAGGTATAATGCATGCACACAGTTTTGAAATATGAAAAATTGTCAAATAAATCGAAAAAAAATTTTAGCCAGATTTGGGCGAAATTCTGACGCGCATGCGCGTCATGCTGTTGTCAACGTGCTAATCAAGAAAAACATGTCTGAGTGAATGAGTTGGCGCAATCCACACCCAGTGAGACCACACCCTCAAAACTAATGTATCGATGGTAAAACAGAAGAACTACACGATAAAACCGTCGACGACTGCCAGCACAACCAGAAAAGTTTTTCTCCCTGCTGAATAATAAGGCTAAACTAAAGTCTACGATTGGGGATGTCGGGAATAAAACAAACGTATAAACATACGTACCGCCATCAACACTTACTATAACTACGAAACACAAAGCCAATTTTCAATATTATGAAAGCGCCACGGCGTTGCAGCTGCTAGCAAAGCAGCACAAAGCGATCATGTTCAATCCTTCTTTTATATAAATCGCTGATTTAGCGTGTCGATTACTATGTAGGTCCATATGCATTTCGGTACATCTGTTTGTCGTCCGCAAAATAAAGGCAACTGATCGCAAAACCCAACCATTAACCGAACTGAGAAGCTTGCAGGCCTTGCGATATCAAGCTTTCGTTATGGCATGATTACGATACATCCCAACAACTATATCCACAGTCAAATTCAGTTTTTGTACACAGGAAAAAACGGCTCCCCCTCTTTCTTCACACTTTGGGGCGCGGACGAGTTGGTAGTGAGGGTATGTTTGAATACGCTCCATCAACGCATCAACTCGGCCGCACCTCAGCGTGAAGAAAGTGGGGGAGCCAGAAAAAAACGTAACAAAAACCGAATTATGAATTCCCTCACCTTGCTGCACTGCACAATATGATTCCAACACCCGCAACACCAGCTATGATTTTCGAATGTACCAATAGCGAGAGCAAGTTGTTATCTGTTACAATATATTGTCCAAGTGCAAATGCTACATAACCAATCATCAGGACACAGCTTATCAAAACCGTGTACACGTCTGATGAGTTCTCTCTTTCAATTTCATCCTGAAAAGATTATCTAGACAGAACAAACAAATGTGAACTCAGGACTGATCGTCGGACAAGCTAGAGCACAGCGAAACAGAAACAGAGCTCGATGTACAACGAAACTATGAGCTGACACTACCGTGAAGACGAACAACATTTTTCTGCCCCCTTCTCCCTTCTTATAACCTAACGTTTCTAATCAATGAGAAAAAGATATTACGGTAAAGGTAGGATTTGATAGCGCAAAACAAAGTGATGGTGGGGAAAGCACTTCGCCAGCAAAATGACACAGCTTTCAGCATCGCTGTTCATTATCGATGGCGGAACACCGGTTCACCACGTGATAAATGTGGTTACTGATAGGGTGACTTAAACATCACAAAAGGTTCAAATAATGTGAAACATGGCCCTAAGGGTGTAATGGTAATATACTGGCAAGCAAGCGAAGCAGTCGGGGATCGATTCCGGATCAGAACCTAGGACTTCGCCCGCACCTCAGCACCTTTGTAATAAGTTTGTGATCGCAAACTGGAGCGAAAAACAGCAGTCAACTGAACAGAACAAAGCAAAAAGTGAAGAATGCCCTTCAATCCATTGCACAGCACTCGTCACTTTTCACGCGTTGATCATATATTGTTAAATGTGTATTCACTTCATCTGGCTCTCCACAACCATTTCGCAGCTAACGTAACGCGCTCCACTTTTCTCCCTCACAGATACACGCTTTCATCGAAGTTCCGCTATAAATCCGATTCGTCCTTAACCCCTCCAGCAAATTGAGTAATAACTGAGAACTTGGGACAAGTACCAATCAAGCCGCGCATATTTGAAGCTTAGCCAGGTATAAGCGTAGATCCCACGCAATCCTTCAACTGGGAAACCAAATCAGTTTCCTACAAAGAACAACAGAATTCGCCGAACATATTTCCGCCAGAATTGATCGCCGTTTTTCTACACTCTACCTTGTCCACCTTCATTTGAAAGTGACTACACGCAAAACCCACCGAAATCGATCTCTCTGCCATAAACGACACTTGAATTTCATCATGCTTGTACTCCTTCATCAAAGTGATAAACCTAAAAGGGAAACGATATGACACAACTCAAGCGACTTGACACATCGTTATCGCTACAATGCAATTATCGCGACTTGGTATCAGCATGCTGTCGTGAGCAAGATTCCGGCGCTGAGTGAGGTGATAATTGCTTGCAAACGGCTCGGTTTTATCGCCATGACAAATACTAAGTGCCCGAGAAATTGATAACGAAGACTAAAATTCTCACGCTTGTTCCCACGCCATCGCTTTTTTTAGATTTGATGATTTTCCATTGAGAGGAATAGTGATAATCAAAGCATTCGAATCGGTTAGCTGCAAAAACCACACCAATAATATAGGCAATTATTTAAAAGAAGAATAGACCAAATTAAAATCACACTAACCACAGAATCTCCTGAAACGCCTCCAAAGACAGTTTCTGGATTGACTGGGCCACCGTAAGTGCCCAAACAGCTCATGTTGGTCGACGTCTCAATGTTGTAAGGGTTTCTGAATATAAGTGGTTGAAAGTTGTTCTGTAGGAGAACCCATCAAGAGAGATAGCAGGCTTACTCAATACAATCGTAGATGTGATTTAAGTAATTCCTCGTTTCCACCTTCTCCTGCGAGCTCTCCGTCTCATCCGCATAGTAATCCAAATCGTCACTTTCATCTTTTGAAGCAGTTGATACATGAGCGGTTATAGAGATATCCAACAAAGAGACGTTTTGCTGGAATCATATTACGCTGACTCCAAAATCCGAGCAAAACATGAGATTTTCAAAACACAAAACTTCTGGCGGCAGAGAAAGGCGAGCCTGCGAATACTGACGCGCACGTTTGCGTTACGAAGGAGATAAGCACAATAGATCTTAATATCGTTATTCCAGCTTTTGCCTGATTTGAAACAGAGAATATCACAATTTTGCGAGGCTGCCTTCACTGTTGTAATTCCGCCGCGGTTTACGGACTTCTGAACTTTCTTCTATGGTCCTGCCACGAATGGCGGAGAGCACAGACGATTAGAGAACGGCGCCTGGCTCGGCTCCAAATCCCAAGGAGGAGGTGAGAGCCCTAGGACTAAGCCTTGTAAGGGGAGGGACTCCGAGGTGGGTGAGCCAACTACAGTGTGGCAAAAGTTTGAATGTGTGAGATCACAGTGGTCATGAGCCGCTGATAAGGCGAGAGAGCGCAGACGAAAGCGTCGAGTGAGGCAGCTTAAAGGACCGAGTTCAAGTAGTCCATCAACCCTTCCGCTGCATGCCGCACGCGTCCTTATTAGCAATATCCTCATTTTTCAGTCCGGAAAATGCGAAAACTACTGACATGCAATAAACTAACTTGGAAGTAATTTGTGGGGCTATAAATAAGGCAATCGTAGTCGTGGCCCATGGGTCGGAAGCAAACATCATCAAGTGTGACACGTCTTCCATCTGGCATGACAGCTGAGATGCCAAGTATTCGAGACAGAATGACGAACGCCTGAAAAACTCATTCTGGATATTGTCTGCAATAATGCAAATGATGAAAAGAAAAGAAACACTGGGCACAACTGCAGTTATCGCGTGAGGACTTTACCTCGCGCATGAAATTCTTGTGAAAAACTGCTCCCATCCGAATTCCGTGTGGTCCGTCAACAACCTGTTCAGAAGATTTCGGATACATGATTATTTGCTCAACTCGATAGAATGGCCTAAAATCCAAGCTTTTATGGAGTTTTCATCTGAAGGAATGACAAGAAGCACTAACCCAAAGCTCTGATCAAAAACCCGTTTCTCTTGCCGAGCTAGACTATGTGCAGAAGTCCACATTTCCAACGGATCATTGGTGAACTTCAGGAAGACGTTTCCAGATATTGAAATGATCGCTATGAAAGCGCCAAAAAGGAATGCGAACCATGCATGTTGGACGACGAACTGAAAAACACAAGCATTTACGAACACTTGAACCTCCTTAGAGTTATTAGATCTACAAACGCTTGAACGAGGCATTTCGAGACAAAATTGAGATACGATTACAATTGCAGTGGTACAATGTTTCAAGTGGAGAGTGCGATGTCAGCTTGTTTATCATTTGTGGGAAACAATAATAGACTAATCACTTTGCACAAATCGCAAACTATTGTGTTCACACTGAGTCGCTTTGTCCAGAAACGTCTTGATCGAGATGACAGAGCTTTATATGAAACGTAAAATCGGAAAAAAACGCACTCGTCCGAACATTTCGCCGTTATACTTGAGCTGATCCTGAATCCATGCACCCATTGTACGAATTCGGCCCATATTTGTATTAACGCTCTGAAATACATTCAGCAATTAAAGGTAGCTACATGTGAGCAACACTGCTTACCTTGTAGTCCATTCGATCCAATTCAGAATCGCTGGTACTAGTACTATGAAACAAATGCAGGAAACCCATAAATATAAGTACACCGGCAAATATGAACAACGATCCAAAAAGAAGAAATACTTTACAGCCCATTCCCAGCACCTGACATACTTCCTGAAAAAAAAAACTTGCTGCTACAATAGTAATATTAACTGCTTTTACATGAATGTAGTACAGGGTGTGGCGCTGGTGTATTTGAGAGGCACATCATTAGAGCAGACTTTGCGAATCCAGCGACTCGCTAGCGAATCGCGGGGTACGTACGTTGCACCAACGGATCGAACAATGTCAAAGCGACTCGACACAGTTTGAAAGTGGCGGGACTCCCTCTGCAGGTTGACTCTCGCTACTTCACTGAGCCATGGTGCCCTCCCACACCATCATGCCCTCGTGAGCCCAGGAAATGGCGAGAGCCAATTTTCAAATTGAATCCCGCCACTATCAAACAATGCCGAGCCACTGATACACAGTTTGATTCACTGACGCAACACCGTATCCCGCGATCCGCTAGCGAATCGCTGGATTCGCAAAGTCTGACACCGGCCTTATGTACAGTGCAGAGCGTCCATACACTCGCCATCCCCATCCCTACTCCCCCTAGACTGAGAAGGACCAGGGAGGTGTGGTGTGTAGGCAATTTTCTCTTCTTCAAAAATCCTTCCCTCCCTAGGCTCAGTCTGCACAACGATACCCCCCCCCCTCACCTGAAAACACCAGCGCCCAGGGCGCTTCGGTGCGCAAAACCGCACAATGCCTAGTGTGTAGGTTAAAAAAAGCATTCTCCGATGGCACAAATCAGAACTTCAATGGAATAGGAGATCGGGACTCCAGCTCTTTCTTTTCGCTGACATTTCCATCTTTCTGTGAGCCCTTTCCCTGTAATATGGCTCATGCCTCCTTTGCTGAGTTGGTTGTAATGAAAGAACGCCTCCCAGATGTGATTCAATTCGAACAATCTCCAAGTGCAAATATCTGCCAAGAACTTTGTGGCCGACTTTTGGCACTATTCACCAAGTGCGTCATGACTATTTAAGTTCCAGGATGTTACAGCTATGGCCGACCAAAGATAAGCGAGAGAGAACACGAACAGTTCGAAAAATGAAATGGCACGAAAGAGCCGAGTACAATAAGAAATGTTCTCGATATAGATTCGAAATCTCGTTACAATCATAGATCCAGTATTCCTTCTAACCCGTAATACTCTCATGCTGAGTTTCCACTGATCCTCATCAGTTCCCATCCCTCATCTGAAGATTGCAAGCGCATCCGAAAAGTCGGCAATTCACGCCTTTGCTTGCGTGCACAAACATTCGAGCGCGAGGAAGAGATTTCCGGAACCGGAAATGTGGCCCAGGGATGCCATTACACGCGCTTAGAACTTCTTATGAGCACACATGCATCGATCACATTACATCCCCACACCAAACACTTCCATCGTCCGCACCATGTATCAGCAGCCCTGCACTTGTGTTGTGAATCTCCTGTGCATCTTCCCGTCGGCAAATTCCTCGCTAGTCAGACAAATTCGATCAGAAAGTCAAAAGAGCAGGCGGTTGTCGTGAAAAACATCGGTCTCCTTAGGGAGTACGTAGTGAGCAAGACTCAACAACAAATCATTTCACGAACTGACAACGTTGAACTAAAGCGTCCAAAACTTGGAGGGAAAGATCATTACAGGAGAAAAATAGACATGAGGAGAATGTTCAAATAATGTTCAATTCATAATGCATGTCAAAAAAATCGTGTGGCAAAAAATCTCATAAAAGCCCTGAACACTACCTAGATTGATTACTGAACAAAAAAAAACCATGATTACGAAGAATTACCTTAGTGCCCTCATCTCTGGGAAACAGATCTACAACCTGCACAGCAGCACAGTCCTGCCTTGAGCATTTGTCGCGACCATATCGTGGTGACATATGACATGGCGTAGTTGGAACCGTCATGAAGTAATCCAATCCGGTGCCAGACTCCTCCTTAAATATGCAATAACTAGACGTATTAAAGCGCACAGTGTACCTTCGTCTGCTGAGATGTTCATGTCAAGAATACTTCCGGCAATTCGAGTAAGATTTTTGAAAAGCAGTTCTCAGTGCTAAAGAAGGGATATCCACCGACAAGTTCATCAAATCGGTTTACTAGCCGCTGCACTTTCAATGCACTGTTTTGTTATTCAATCGAAATCTGGATCGACTGCTGGAATGATATTGCCAGAGTGAAGAACTGAAGTTTACAAGCATGAGCTAACCATTCCTTCTACTGACTGCAATTTACAGCGGCACTCACTCACATGCAAAATTAAAACTAAGCGATCAGCACCCCATGCTCGCGAAAATCGATCCATTTATTCCGACGACTACGTCACCGGGAAGAAAACACATCGGAATATGAGTCACATAAACAGTAGCTAAAGGCTCACTGATGCACATGTTTCCTTCCAGCGAGAATCGATTAACAAGTCATGAATGTAGGAAGAAACAGAAAAATGAACGGATCGGAAAGTACTCACCTTTGGATCGATAAGGTTGAAATCAATCCCAAGAGGGATGCCGATTCGATGATTCTGAGTTCCCATGAACTTCAACCAGTTATCGATAGTACACTCTTCATTCTTTTTCAGACTGCCGCACATCAAGCGAATCGCCTTAGTGGCACTTCCCGTCATTGAAACCTTAATTTTTCGGAATCATTGAGCAATCCCTTTCTTCTGAAGAAGCGTGCTATTGTAGAATGCAACAACACAACTTCGCCGCGTTCACCCACGCCAATAAGCCATCAATGTAAAAAACGATGAGAAAAACATGGGCAAAATGAACGGCATACAAGAAATAGTACTTACGTCTTTGCATGAATTGTACAATGCATCTGAAAATTCCTTGCTAACATTATATCGCACTTTATTAACGTATGATATATTTGCTTCCGGGACGTCAAGCTCTTGCAAAATCTGAAAGAAGCAGATGTTCCAGTAATAAGTGGGCAGATAAGTGTCGTGAAATCATTTTTTTTTCAAAATCCCCCGCAATTGAGCAGTTCCTCGATTAGATGTAGCCATTCGGCCTCTTTGGTTTTTGGTACGTTTACAAGCGCAAAGATCAGCGATCATTCGCCATGCGACTAGTTATCATTGCTCATCAACAGACCCGAAGCAAGCAGCTGTTCTTACGTGATATTACTCATTTCATTACTGATAACAAAATGGTAACATGAGATCAAAGAAGTCCTGACCATTACCCTGCAACGTAAAAAGCTCAGAGTTGAACGAAATTTAGAAACAACGGAAAAATTGCAAGCAAGGTGTAATACGGAACAGAAAGCTTTCGTGTTCACCAGGCGAAACATTTCTCGCAGCGGGAGCATCAGGTGCACCGTGGACCATGGGTGGACCTGGAGCTCCCCCAGCGAAAAAATGTTTCGCGCTGCGAAATGCGAGGAAGTCACCTTAACAACCATATCGAAAGGCTCACCTCTATAAACGCGTGTTGTCGATGTGAACAGGTGAATTCACACCATAACTTTTGAAAGTTATCATAACATGATGGGCATCGTTCAAGTAAACTACCAGCTTGACGTAACTGCTTGCTCATTGCAAGTACTTGAGCCGAAGAACAACAAACACCATCATTACCTGCAAGTAACTCAGGGCCATTAATGATATGAGCGACACCACTAGAGGACAAGTAAGAAAGAAAAAAAATCACAAATGCTTGAATTCTTTTGACGACCAGTCCGCCCCATTTACTTGTGTGTGTCGAGATGATTGTATTGATTGGGCGCGCGCGTGAATCAATATCCTTTTTATCATAAGCACGCGCTGTTCTCTGGCCAAAGTGTAAAAACAGCTGATAAGCGACTTCAAATGAAAATACGAAAGTCTATCCAGACCTTGCAATGTTAAGAGGCTCTCTTGTAGGTTAACGTGCAGATTTCAAGTAAGACGTGCACGCTGGCAATGAGAAACATGACAAGCATACGCGTTCAAAAGATACAAAAACCAAAAGGCTTGGATGATTACCTCCTAATAAGTGAGGACAAATGTATTCGAGCTTTTTGGCGGCATCATCGGATAGGGATTGAATAGGAAGAGCCGTGAAGTTCCCGTCTGCGCGGCAATTCATCGGGCTTGATCGTTCCATATGACAGACATCGTACATGACACAGTAGCTGAGTACCAGATTCCATGATATAGAGATTTGTACAAGATAGGTGAAGAACCAATCGCGAATACGCATCGTTATTCCTCTTCTTGGTCGCCGTCACCGTTGTAGCCGTCGTGGTCGTCGTAACGTCGCGACGCTTCTTTACGCTAATATCCGATCACTCATCAGTCTGAAATCAAAATTCTGATAATGTAATCGCGCCACGCCTACACGTCACATTTGACGATAGTGAAGGCCAAAAAGAAACGTGAGTGTGCAACGTTGACACAATGAGTCACAGATCAGAGATGAAGTTTCACACGCCACAAGTCACAACGAGTACAAACAAGTCCAGGTGACATTGCGCGATCTTAAAAAACTAGCAATATCGACTTGCATCTACCCTCACACAAGCAAGAGGCAAAATGAAGGGTTTCTGCACGAGACCACTGGCGCCATGTAAGGCGCATTCGAACAGACAATCGAGGTAGCCTTTCACTAATTGACTGGAGCTTCCTGACAATAGTCGAAATGTTTCGAATCTTGAACGATGAATAATCGGAACTGGCATTAGTGTAAACCTAACACATGCGTTGAGACTGAGATTATTTTCGGCTAGTGAATTGGTTACGGCACAGAAGCCTTACCGAGTGAAAATATAACTGTTGCAGCACCACATCACAGATCCCTAATTTTTTGAGAGCCACTGCCTTCTACAAATTTTTCACCTTTGATCAATACTGAGAAGGTGTCGACTTCTAAGGACGACAGCGATGTTGTGGTGCGTGCACGATGAATAGTTGAAGGCCTGACGTGCAAAACCATCACACCCCCATTTGGGCGACTGTGTCGAGAATTTCTTGAATAATCGATTCCTACTTAGCAGGCTCAGGAGCCGTGTTAGTCAGAAATTCAATGAGCTGCTGATATTACGAAAGGCTACAGTAGAGCGTAATGCCGAAATCAATGGCCAAACAGAACACTAGCCGACAAAAGAAATGAACGTCGCTGCTAAATTTGGAAGAGTTCCATGCACTTAATGTCGAGTGTGAGGGTATTTAGCAGGAATTGATTAGGATCATTTCATTTCGCGGTTTTCAGTTACACAGCCGCTGTCGGTCACCAGGCAGGCCAAATGTGGGTCAGAACCGCATCGAGGAAAGAATGTGGGATACGCCTACGCTGCAAATTGATGTCGAAATGCGGTAGCTGCAGCAATTCAACCGAGGCAATGGCTTCATCGGCTTAGTACGCTGTCTTCAGCGTGAGTCAACGAAACAATTGCCGCCATTCGACGCCCATGAGATTCGATATGACCTCGTCAGTGATTGAGGGCAGGCCGTCGGAGCAGAGGGCGACGATGAGGGTCGTGCATCTGCGCTAAGCTAACGGCGAATCTTGGACGGCTAACGGTGGATCAAGGACATTTTTGTGAGCAATGAAGAATAGCATCGTGGAAATTAAGGATAAAAGGATAAAGCATTTGCCGTTGATCAATCCCTTTTTGGGATGCGGCACGCATTCTACTTCCATTTGTACATTCGTAGTGGCGTTTGAATGCGATGTGGCCTATACAATGACTTGCGGGGGCCAGCCGATGTACAAGTCAGTGTTTTTATCCTCCCAGACAAGTCTGGTACCAATTAACCGACCCCGGAGGGATGGAAGGCTTGGTTGGCCCGGGCGACTCACGACCCAGGATTTGATCCCCGGACCGCTCGCGTGGTAAGCGTGCCACTTGCCACTACACCACTTCCGCCCTCGAAATTAATAATAAAAATTCCATAATAACAATAAAATAGGAAAAAGAACAAAAAAATGAAAGGGTTCGAGCAAGCACCAGTAGAGCAACCACAAGCGGCATGTCCATTGCACAAGTAAATGCATCATGAAAATTGCCAGCGACGAATTAAAAAAAAAGAGTTCGATACGGAAAATTAACCGATTCGGACAACGGCAAAAGAGAATGGACAAAAGCGAAAAATAAACATAAGAGGGCACATGCCTGCCCGCCGTCAGATAGCAATGTGTGGTGAGTTCGATGTGAGGCGGCACCACAGCTTCGTCCTTGTCGTCGTTTTCGTGTCCCCTTCCGCGCCCTCCTCCTTTCTGCTCCTCCTCTCGAGAAGGAGGTGTCCTGAACCGGGCGGCGGCCTCGAACGGCGAGAGACAGCCAGTCGGCCTCGCCCAGTCTGCCCCGTCGAGAGCTGCCGACGCCCGGCTCAGAGCGCAGAGACGCCAGGCAGCCCACTCTGCGTCACCGGCAACGAAGGGTGTGCAAATGGGCTATGAGTGCGATTTGGTGCGATTAGCATGTGCCGGCGGCTCATGGTTGAACTCTTTTAATCACGCTGAATGGTGCTTGACGCTCAGCTTATAGCCTGCGGCTATGAGCGTTTCGTCGTCGTCAGCGACCTAAGATACTTCGTCTCGATCGGCACTCCACGAAGGCCCCTATTCCACAAACTATCTCCTATCCATGGTTCGGACCAGGGTCACCGTGCGTTGCCCAGTTCTCGGCGGATCAGTCGTATTTGATTTTTGGAGATGGGGATCGTATTTGTGGTTGATGAAGGTCAAAAGGTTGAGGAAGGTGTCGTATTTTGGAAAGTTTACGGGTCGTGGAGGGAGGGGGTGTCTAGTATCTCGACGATCGTTTTGGACCTCAGAATCAAATTCTAAAGACACAGCCATAATGGTGAGGGTGGTAGTCGGGCAGGGGAGAGAGAGGGTCATATCAGGGACGTCCTAAGGTTGATGGTGATGGTGTATTGAGCCTAGTCTAAAAGGGGGAGTCCTCAAATTTATGGAACTGGATTAACGGACGATTGACCTTGGCTGAGACCAGCTTCAACTGCCCATTGTGTAATTCCCAACAGAGGTCTTATTGGAATTTTTCGGAGGGGGTCTTATTAGGGGTTGACCAAGGTTAAGATCCAGTCTTTTGGGAAGGTGCGAACAGGAGTTTTACTTGCAGTAGTTGAAGGGGTTGTGGTGCTTGACAGAAGGGTTGGTTATGACTTTTTTTACGGCCTTGGCAAAAACTTCAGTGAAGAAGCGTGAAATATACAAAATTAGAGGACCTTGTATATTCAATCACATGGTTGAGAATTTGCCATTTATTGCAACATCATGTTTATCCCCCCCCCCCGTCGGCCCCTTTCCTTTGCTCGACAGCTTTTTTGGAAGGGAGAAAATGAGCGGAGTTAGAGCGTGTCGATTGGCCCAGAATCACAATATTAGGCTGTCCCATAAGTAGTGTCGCCCTTTTCAGACGAAAATTTTCCTGCTAAGATTAAGTTCCTACATGACGTCATCTATCGTTCGAAAGGGTTTCGTCTGCTTTCCAAAAAGTATACTAGCTCTAAAATTTAATTCTTCCGCCAGAACGATGGTTGAGCACTGTCGCTTCAAATACCCCATGGATTTTTACAGTCAAAATGTTAAAAATTAGAGGAATGTCAAGAACTTCTATGGGAATTGTCTATTTCAAGTGATGTGGTCTTTCTTGTGCACTTGGCACCTTATTACGTAGGCCCAAACTTGGACCTAGTTCGAAGAGAAAATCAAAAGAAAATATGTGGCCGAATAGAGCAGAAAAAAGCTTATATATAAGATTGACATAAAACAATTGGATTTTAGAGGAAAAATTTCAGATCAAAACCGGGTGTGCTGGCGATGAAACAGCAAAACCAAATTCGGAAGAAAGTGACAAGGTTTTTTTTTCAACAACCTGATAGCGGGATGTTCAGGAGAGCTTGTGAGTAAGTAGGAGGTACATTGTTGATCGATTTTTCCTAGGAGGATATAGAGCTAGAGCTAGTTGTCGGTTTGGCTAATTTTCACCAATTGGACCTCCTTTTTCGCAGGCCTATGCATCAACGTTTTTGCAAAAAAAAATGTGGAAGTAAAAAAAAGCATTTTGTAGAGCAGACGTTTTGTAGAGCAGACGAATTATGTACTTTCGAACGATCATGATATGATGTGAAAACTTGGGATTTTAGCGAAAAAAAAAACCGTTTGAAAAAAAGCCGACACTACGTATCGGACAACCTCATACTGTGGAACAGCCATGGTGGTGTGGGTGGTGGTGAGGGGTTGAGGGGGTCGTATTTTTGGGTGACCTCCATGACGTGTGATGATAGGAGACCGCCTTCCCCCAAGAAAAGGGAGGGACGTGAAATTTCTGGAATTGGATTTATGGGCGGTTTACTCTGGTTGGGACACAAACACCTCTCACTGGTGGTCCTTTTCTGGTTTCTTATGTTATGTTTATTCCTTCTTCAGATAATGCGAGGGCGGTGATAGGTTAGTGAAATGAGGCAACGTATCGTATTAGTCGCGTAACAGCATGGGTTATGTCAAGGTCCTGTGTTCCATTTCTCTGGGATGAATTGCTGATATCAGAAATGTCTTATAGGGCAACAAGCCAGCATGGACATCCGTTAGCGAAATCATACCCTGGATAGAGCATCTATGTACACACTATTTCGGAAGACGAGAAGAGCGTCGAGTGCAGACCACATGCCACAAATGACGACGTCCCGAAAGAAAAAAGCCATTTTTTTTCTCTACACTCCTCACTTGTGGCGTGTGGTCTGCACTCGAACGCTCTTTTCTTTCTCGAAGTCGAGTATATATGCATTGAGACGTCCATGAGACGTTGAGAAGGTAGATTGCGTGGCGCAATCCAAAAACATCTAAATTATTCTCGTATCACATTATGACTTCAGCCTATCCTGGAAGTTGGTAGAGTTTCAGCACGAGAGGCAGTGGCTGGTGCTGTGAGTGACGAGATGTTTCCAAGATGTTGTTCAGCTGAAATCTGATATAACCAGTTGGCGCGGCATGCTGTTCCGCACACAGCACAGTTCACGACATGAAACGGTGCGGCGAAAATTCTCAAATTCAGCCGGTACGCCACGAATATTTGATTTGCTCTTCTAAGCTAGATCCCATCCGATTCCTTCTCGGCTCCGTGCTGTTCTCTGGGCCATATTACGACGTTGGTCCCAGCCCACCGATCAGCTCTTGACTTCCTCGCCTTCGTCCACCTGTAACCTCAGTTTTTCCCTTTAGACGCACATCGCAACGACGTTTCCGAAAGAAAAAGCCTTCTTTTTTTCGACCTCCTCACTTGTGTGCGTGTGGTCTTGCACTCGACGCTCTTTTCTTTCTCGAAGTCGAGTATATATGCATTGAGACGTCCATGAGACGTTGAGAAGGTAGATTGCGTGGCGCAATCCAAAAACATCTAAATTATTCTCGTATCACATTATGACTTCAGCCTATCCTGGAAGTTGGTAGAGTTTCAGCACGAGAGGCAGTGGCTGGTGCTGTGAGTGACGAGATGTTTCCAAGATGTTGTTCAGCTGAAATCTGATATAACCAGTTGGCGCGGCATGCTGTCCGCACACAGCACAGTTCACGACATGAAACGGTGCGGCGAAAATTCTCAAATTCAGCCGGTACGCCACGAATATTTGATTTGCTCTTCTAAGCTAGATCCCATCCGATTCCTTCTCGGCTCCGTGCTGTCTCTGGGCCATATTACGACGTTGGTCCAGCAGCCACCGATAGCTCTTGACCTTCCCTCCTTCGTCCACCTCTACTCAGTTTTTCCCGATCTCAGGACCGTCTCTGAACTCAATTATGAAGTTTCGTGGCGAGCCCCACCCACCTCGGTGTATGCCCCGCCAACCAGTACCATTTGTTCTCCTTCCATCCGCCAACTTCCATCCACTTTTTCTCCGGTACCTGGGCTGTCTCTGAGTCGATTTATGAGTTTAGTGGCAAACTTCACCCTTTTGTGCACGCTCCACCCACCAATAGCAGTTGGTCTTTTATTCCTCGCCATCATGCCTCCATCCACTTTACTTCCCGTATCCGACTGTTTCGGAATCAAATTACGAATCGTGGTAAACTCGGCACCCTTCGATGCATGCCCCACTCGTATTTGACCTTTTTCTCTTCGCCTACCCAGTTTTTCTCCAACTCTAGACTGTCTCTGGACTGAATTGCGAAGTTTCGTGGCAGACTCCGCCCTCTTCGGCGTACGTTCCACCCGCTAATAGAAGTTGATACTTTCTTCTTCGCCAACCTTCGCTCACTTTTTTCCCGGTCTCCAGACTGCTTCTGCATTTGGCCTCTTCCTTCACCGACCTCCATCCACTTTTTTCCGTTCTTAAGACTTCTCGGAGCCGATTTATGAGCTCTTGTAGAAAACGCTGTCCACTTCAGGACACGCTCCGCCCATTGTGGGCGGGCCTCCGTTCACATCATGTATGCTGGAAACACCTTAGACATTGCTCCCCTACACCAATTTTTTCTGCTCTGTAGGCTTTCTCCTAACCAAATTTGAATTTTTCAATCAATCACCACTCCTTTGGAGAACCCCCGCCCATAGTGGATTTCCTAATTCGATCTGGCTTACCCCTTTTCCCTTCTTTTCCGGACTCTAAGCTGTTTTGGGCATGAATTTGAAATTCTGGCTGTCAGTACTGCTTATTTCGATGTATGCCACACCCACTTTGGGCGGAGCTCCACTTAGCCGATGCATGTCTTACACTTCTGGCCCATTCCCACACTACTCACCGTCTGAAGGGGCCATTGCAAATAACTAGGGTTTTAAAAAAACGGTAAAGACTTTCCCGAATAACATCGGAACTTCAAAAACCTTCTACAACAACGCGCAGCGAAAAACAATGCTCAACGATGGCGCGTGCGGCGCGTGTTGAGTGATGTCACGATGGCTTGAGGCGAGAGGGAACAAGCAATTGCTAGCAACGCAGAAAAATGTTCGTATGATGAGACCGCGTGCACCTTACTAAGGTCCTGGGTGCGATCATGAAATCATGTTGCTTTGTAGCAAAGGAAATTTGTGATTTTTCCGATGTGAGGGATGAGAAGGGTGAACGAAAATGACCCCTTCGGTATGACCCTTGTAGAGGGGTGCACGCTTATCAAAGCAGATCATAACAAGTCGTATCACTCTTAGTTCCTTTGCAACTCCTGATAAGGTTACGGTAATCACCCACATGTGTACATGAAGAATTAACACGGCAGCGCTGTCCACTATTTGGCCCTTTGCCTGATCATCCGCTGTGACGTCACTCGGCACATGTAGCGTGTGCCGCCGATAAACTTTTCCCTGGAGCCTGTTCCACTCTTCATCCATAGCCGGCAAACGCTAAGCTTAAACGACTGATGGAGACTATAAAAGGCGAAATTGAACGAGAGCGACATCAATATGTAGTAGATGAAGTTGGGATCAGGGTGAGCGTGGCGTCAAGTGAATCGTGTTGCCAATACGTCGTCTCCATCCTCCTCCCCTCCCTTAGTTCAAGCTCAGCCTAAGTTACACAGCAATATCTGCAAATTTCCTGCCTTCCTACCTAGTCAGAACAAGAAAAATTTCGAGGTTTCTTGAAATTTTGAAATTTCTTGAAATTCCTAAA